AAAATGGAAAACCGCCACCTCTTAATTAGTGGTTTTCTCTTGATTTATTTTATACTGAACCTTTTTTTCTTTTTTTTTAATTGCTATAAATTAGAGCATTATTGAGGGAAGCACTCAATTTAGCATTATATTTAATTAAAAAAATAAATAAAAATTATATAAAATTGTAAACAAATTTTGACCTTATTTTCTTCTTATTTCACGTCTCTACAAAAAAATTAAACATAGAATATCATGTGAAAGATTTGTTTGATTGAATGAGTATTTTAAAATCCTGTCGTAGATTATATGGGTAATTTTAAATTTTCAAAGACAAAATTAATGTATTGTTTTCTTACTATAAATCAAAGGAGTATTTTAAAATTAAATATAACATTACTTACAATGATTTATGCTTGATTTTTGTCGTGCTTTCCTAAATTAATACCAAATTGGAAAATATTTTAAATGCTTATTTTTAGCCCGAAGGGCTACATATAGCATAACCCATTTTGGTATTAATCTTAGCCCCAAGGGTAATGCTATATGTAGCCCTTAGGGCTAAGAATAAGCATTTAATATCTTTTCCAATTTGGTATAAATTTGGAATGCAAGACAAAATCACACATAAATTAGTGTAATTAATGTTAAATTTTCATTTGGTTTTTTTTTCCCATTTTTAGCTCCTTATAAAGGGTTATGTATACAAGTTCATTTATTGGGTAATGCTATATGTAACTTTAAGGCTAAGAATAAGTATTTAATATATTTTCTAATTTGGTATTAATTTAGAAATGCATGACAAAATCACGCGCAAATTAGTGTAAATAATGTTATATTTTCATTTGTTTAAACCATTTTAAGTTTCTTATATATAGCCGGCTATGTATAGCAATTTTCATTTATTGATGTATTATTTTTCTTACTCTAAATCAAAGGAGTAGTTTAATATAACCCCATTTTCTTAGAGATCATTTAAGGTTATATGTTGCTTACTCATCATCATGTATTAAATCACAACCAAAAGCAATATATACCTCATGTGGTCAAAATAGCTTTTCACAATAACAAATCAAATGTTATTATCCCTTTTTTTCTTACACTTTTCTACATATAACTAGTTTTTGGGCCCAGGCGATGCCCCGGGTTATTACATAAAACTAACTGATCATTAATATACATTGTAATTTATGATTTTATTTTCTTATAATTAAATTTGTTATTCATATTGTCAATTTGCTACATATTAATATTTTGTATTCAAAAGATTACATAAAGAATGACATAACTTGGTGGTAAGACATTTAGTTCTTGAATTAGAAGTTGCGAGTTCAAATCTTGCGGATAACTTTTTTTTTATAATTATTAAGAGTGCATGACATGTAATGAAAATCAATGGAAGAGAGAGCCACGTGGCGTTATAAGTACCTGAATGGATGACGTGGCGTAGTAAGGGAAGCTTACGTGGCACGTGGATGTTGTTAGAAACGCCTTTTAATATATTAGTATAGATATGTCAAATATTTAAGTCTTAGGGCTAAAGTGATAAATATGTATAAGTCTTAGTGAGTCTTAAGAGGGACATCATTTTCAACGGGGACCACCAAAAATGATGTCACATCCAAATCTTAAGACTTGGGGCTAAACTTGCTCTTAGGTAGTTGCATATCCATCCATAGAATGTAAAAGATCATTACTTATTTTATACAATTAAGACAATTACTATTATGTAATGATTTTCTAAACCAAAAGTTTTATAAAAGGAGCTTTTTTAATGATTTCCTAAACAAAATACTAGAAACACACCAAAAAATGACACGTGTCATTGCTAATGTGTCTTTTAATATATAGTTATTAATTCTAATGTAAACAATTATTATTATGTAATGATTTCTTAAACTGAAAGTTTTATAAAAGGAGTTTTTTATTTTTTTTTACACACCAAAAATTGACACGTGTCATTACTGGTGTATCTTTTAGTATATAGTTATTGATTCTAATGTATGCAATAGCTCCAATAACTAAAGTATGATATGTAGTATGTTCATATCATTGAAAATTTAAAACCCTAATGGATTAAAGAAACATGTCTTTAGAGTTTTAAAAGCTAACGTAATCCCAAAAACCCATAGTAATGTCAATTGTCTACGACAACTTATTAACGCTCATCTTAAATTTTGGAAGGATAGGAACCTGATCTTCTACCTCTTTAACAAAATCTTCCACTCTAGAGTGCATCTTCTTAGTACTTTTAAAATGTCTCAACCTCGAAATAAGATTTTAGGTGTTGCCACCGGAGCTACCTAATATACCTAATACTCCCGTCCTCCAACCCTCACACAAATTATGTATTGGTATGGCACATATTCAAATGCAAATATTGGTAGACTAGAACATTTTTTAGGCTAATTTAACATGTAGACTAGAACATTTTATAGGCTAATTTAACATGTTTAGGTAGTTTATTGTTGTCTTATGCTTGTTCCGAGCACGGAAGTGTACTATTTACTTCCTCCATTTTTATTAACTAGGCCTATAGCCCTTTGGCATCCAACAAGGAGGAAGAGATTAAAGAAAAAAAAAAACATACACTAAATAAAAATAAATTAATACTATAAAACCCCAATATATCAATCCCTCTTATTGGTGGTTGTATTTTTTTGTATTAAAAAAAAAATTGTTTATCTTATTTTTTCCTTAAATTGTGTGCCATGGGAATATAGGTCACGTTAAAACGAAACAGAGCAAGTATTACAAAACCCTGACCCAAAACCTATTATCTATCAAACAACCAACCAATCAATCAATCAATCAAAGCATTAATCAATCAATCAAACCGCAATATATATTGTAAGGCAATAAAATGTGTTCTTATTCAATCAAAATGCTTTGAATCTCTCTCATTGTATTTCACATTGTTTTGGATTTGTGCAACTAATATTACACTAGTTAATTTCCAAAAGCATATGATAAGCACAAAACATGTACAACTCACAAGTACAAAATGCCCCTCTAAATTGGTGAGAGCAAGGCCGGAACACTAATGAAGAATTTAAACTAATATCTTTTATAGATGTTAAAACATAAGTAATCACTTCACCAAAACATAATAGCACTGTTACTCCGACACATTCCTTAGCCATGGGTGTCGCGTGTCAACACGACACGACGCGCAACACGGCCCTTGACACGGCTCAGAGAAAGTGTCGACTCGAGGTTCGAAAAAGTGTCTGAAATAAGTGTTGTCGGTGGAATTTTAGTGGTAAACTCCATTGTTTCCGGCGTGTAGCAGCTACATAATAGGGAAATAGAGAGAGAAAGAGGCAAATAAGCCTGAAAATGAAAGGTTGGCTGATAATAACGAGGTTGGTGGAAATATTAGACAGCTATTATCAAATAAAGAAAGTTGGACAGCTGTCATCTTTATGTGGTGGAGTATTTTTTTTACTTTTGACTTCTCATTCTCATCCTTTCTTTTCTACTTTATTTTTTTATTTTTAATTGAAAGTTGTTTTTGTTACTTAACGTACTATACCTTTTTTAAACCTTTTTTTAATCTAATTACTTTATTATTATTATTTAAGTGTCGGATTAAATTTTTTTGACACTTTATATAGTAGTTGTATCCTATGAATAAGTCAAGACACTCCCTTGACTGTGTCGAAGTGTCGACCAAAATTTAGGACTGAGGTATCGGCCACTCTGACACCTTATCGGACACGACACTTAGACGAATAGACCAATTTAATATGCACAAAGTACCTTTTTTCTTGTTAAGGACTCACTTGATGCTACTCAAAATCAAACCAAAGAAAGAGTTTAAATTAGAAATTTTAATCCAAGAGATCCACAAAAGGTGAGTCTGGATCATCTTCTGCTATAAGCGGTAGGGTTAGGAATCAAAACAATGGCTTGAGTGATGCCTATAATCCCATACTTCAAAATAACAATATTCCATTCAAGTTCTTCCTAGATTAATTAAAGTGACCCCATATCCATATGTGTCAATTGGTATCAAATTCCAATGATAAAATTAGTGGTTATGTACAGAGCACAATAAAGTAAAGGAACACAATAAACTAATTTCGATAATACCGGTGTCGGACACGGACACGTCAAGGTGTCTAATTCGGCAAAGTCCAAAATTTTGGGACTCGGGGACTCACTCCGAAATTTGGACACGGGTGCGAGTACACGTGTGTGTATATATATATATATATCAAATATTTTCTACATAGTAAGCCATAAGGAAGCCCAATTTTAAAGTCCACTTGACTAAAAATACAGCCAACAAATACGTAGTAGTTTGAATTGTGTTTGAAAAAAAAAAGTAAAGGAAAAAAAGGATGTCTGATGTGGGCCAGGATAGAAAAAAAGAAACAGCCTTTAATGAAAATAAAAAAGAAAATACAGGCTGTTAAAGCATAAAGAGTAAGAATCACGTGAAAACATTTTCTTTTCTTTTTCTTGTCTCTCTCTTCGTATTTCTTCTTCACCTAAAAAACTCCCTGCACTTCAATGGAGTCTCTTTTCTCCGTCACCCTCGATGCAAAATCAGAATGGCATTTGGCTCGCTAGAGGCCCACGAGTAAAAGCCCTATAGTTTTATTACTTTTTACTTCTTCATTTTTGTTTTATTTGGGAATTAGGGTTTTTGTCGAATCCGAGGAGAAGTTCACGAATTGGACACGAATTTTGTGTCCAAATCCCATACGCGTCGTGTTGACGCGCGTTTGGCGGCCAAAATGCCGAGTCCGATTAACAAAGGGGTTAGGAATCAAAACAATGGCTTGAGTGATGCCTATAATCCCATACTTCAAAATAAAAATATTCCATTCAAGTTCTTCCTAGATTAATTAAAGTGACCCCATATCCATATGTGTCAATTGGTATCAAATTCTAATGATAAAATTAGTGGTTATGTACAGAGCACAATAAAGTAAAGGAACACAATAAACTAATTTCAATAATACCAGCAAATAAATACAAAGTAAAGGAACCAGAAGGGACAGAAATCTTACCACAGAGCATATATTTAACTTGCTTATTGTAGGTCCAGTTCCCACCTAAAAACAAATATCAACCATAAATAACATCCTAGCCAAAAAATAACCAAGAAAATTCATATATCTAAAACTCACTGCTGCTACAAGAAAACAAAAGGAGGAATTAATTATAATTATGCAAGTATCACTACATTGAAATAATGATATAATAGTTTGCCTTTCAAATTTCAATAGCTTAATTCTAGTCTAGAAATAAATAAAATTTTGATGCTGAAAATATCAATTAATTAATACCAGAAACAGGGGGGGGGGGGGTGGGGCGAGGATATTTGCAATGACATAAGGGTAGACACTTTGTGAGTCTTGTGAGATAAAGTGTAATATTTGTCTAGGAGTCTAACTATTGGCCATTGTTATTAAAATCGCGATTCAAATCTTTGAATCATAGAAATATACGATTTATGCATGGCCATACAATTCAATTTACAATTCTACCCGACTTTACATATTTATCCTACCTAGAGAAAACCTTACAACTTTAAAACATGCCTACAAAGTTATTAATAAATATATTGTGAATTATTGGTTGCTTAGTGGGTCAAGAACTACTTTCTATCAATAACTAGATTTTTAACTTTTATGCCCTGTTTGGAAACATTGATCAAGCTGTTTGTATAAACTATTTTGACTAATTGATTTAAAACTACTTTAGAGATCATTCCTGCCCATCCTCAGTTTTGGCCTATTCAAGAATCAGTTTAGTAATCATTGTTGCCGAGGTCATGAATCGAGTGCCGATTATGTCATTGCAAAATTACCGAGGTCAAGAATCGAGTGCCGACTATAATCCACCTTGAAGGCAAGGTGAAACTTCTGGCGGTGAGTAATGTGCCAGGCTCAATGTGGCTTCCCCCTAAGTGTAATGGGAAGCATAGGACAGCAAGGCACTATTGGACAAAACTCATCAATGAAACACTTAGGAGAGGTGTAACAAAAGCCTGCTGTTTTGATACTTTGTAGCATAGTAACAAAGTTAATATTAGGTTATCCTCATTGTCTAGTGTAACTTGCTTGATTATATATGGAGTAGTAGCATAACATTAGAAGGTATGAGATTTGTATTGGGGAAATGAGAGAAAATGGTTACCTCAAGTTACTAAAAGAGTAATAACCTAAAGTCATCAAGGACAGTAATAACCTAGAGCTATTAACCTATCACTTTTGTATCCAAATTTCTGCCATTATCAATCAAAGACTCAAGCTTTTAGTAATAAATTTCTTGTTCAATAGAACTTATAATCTGAAAATTCTAGTCTATTACAAATTACAGTTTGTGTTAAAGTGTTTGGTAAATAGTGGTAAGTTATTAGTTGTTTTAGTGTGTTGAAAAAAAAAAAAAAAAAAAAAAAAAAAAAAAAAAAAAAAAACCACTAAAAGCTCTTTCAAAAAGCTCCTTACCAAACACCCCAATGAGCTTTTTGAAATGATTAAATAACTCATTTACACCAAAAAAAAATTATTTAGCTCCAAAAAAAAAACTAACCAAACACCCCCATAATATAAATACATTCAATGAAATTTAAGAGCTACTCGAGACTTTACGATTTGATTCTAAAAGACCTTTACGATTCAGAGTAGAATCTCAATAGTAGAGATTTTGATAACTTTGCTATAGGTGTAGATAAATGTAAGTGGAAAATTGATGTGGTTGGAAGCGAGTCTAAGGGTTAAACATATACTCCCTCCCTCCGTCCCATAATATAGACCCTTTTTCCTATTTTGGAGACCTAAAATGTTGTTCCCGTTTCTATTTTTGGATAGTATGTAAAGACCATCATACCGTTTTTTTTTTTTAATTTATTCATTATACTTCCTACATTACCCTTGAATTTTGCAAATGTCTTGTACTTTTTTCCACTTTCTCTCTTTAACTTTTGTCTATAATTGTACTTTTCACTTTTATCAAAATACTTCACCTACTTTCTCCTCCTATTTCTTATATACCATGACAAAACACAAACAAGAACTATATTATGGGACGGAGGGCGTACCAAGTTCTTTAAAACACAACCATTTAATTCTCTCACTATACGGCCTTTAAATGATGTTCATAATACATGCAAGCTACTAGTAGAAATTAAGAATATTATCCTCCCAAGAAGATGAGGATTATCTTGACTTGATGTATTTCTAAATTAGTGAAAAATTCCCCACCCCCTGCCCCCCTTTTTCACGCTTTTGTACTTCTACTCTCTTGTCTCTCCTCAATGCTTTAATTTTCTCTCTAAATCTCTCTGTACTTAAACATCTCTCTTATCTCCTGCTCACCTCTCACTAGTTTCTCTTTTAGCTACCATGTCCTATCACTCTTGGCTTCCTCTTCTTCTGCGTTACTTTGCCTTAACCCTGCCTAGCTCCCTATACGTATGTCACATGTTATAATCAAGGAACTGTTTTTCAGCTCTCGGTAAGGCCAACCAAGCATTCAACATTGCAAAACCTGGAGTTTTTAGTATACTAAAATTGCATTATTGATGATACATGATGCATTAGCTACTGCTTGATCCCCTAGAAAAAGAGTTTGTACTAGGTGCATAGTATGAAATTTTTACATATTTTGCTAGACTAGAAAGACAGAAATTGACACAACTTTTGCAACCCACTCAGTATTATTTCCTAATTAAGGATTGTGTAGCCTCACTTGCTATATGATGAATAGTTACTAACAGACTAACAGTATGCTCTTAACAAGTCATAACGAATATTTACTATCATTTAACCATGCAAAATTAAACCCACTGAAAATCTAAAATCATTGTTAGGTGAGCTAAGATGAGTGAACTGTACACAAAACATAATATTATTTCCAAGTAGCATGCAAAAAAACATTAAAACATATTAAATAGAATCTAATTACAAAACGAATCGAACATTTGCTCAAACACATCACTGCACATATCAAGATATACCTAAATCATTTTCCAACACTTAATGTTCTTCGAAATAAGTCACAAGACTCACAAATTTCGGATCTCATATATATCGACTTGTATAATACATGTGTGTGACACATCATAGGGTGACAATAGGAGCCATGTTCCTTTCCACAGACTATATGCAAAGAACCTAATTATTATCATTCATCACAGTAAAGCTCACAAACAGGAGTTATACATATGTATCATTACCTCATCAATATCAATCTTGTAAAACTTTACATTAGGCAAACCATCACTCAGCTTTTTCATATCTGGCCACAGAAATTGACCTGCAAAACATATTCAAGACCAATTCTAACCAATCAGCATTCTGAAAGCTAATAAGCCCAAATCATATAGAATACGACATTCTCCTACTAAATAATTTCACAGAGAAACCATTTTAAAGGGTTGTGGGGCCAAGGAGTTTGGGATATGTATGGTGTTTCTTCCGTCAATTGGAGTTCCAATTGAATTGCTTTGCAGCTTTGCCTTTAAAGTTTAAACAAAGGCAAAATCAGGTTTAGTGTCTTAAAGAACAGGTGAATAGGTGGCATTTCAATCTGTAAAGGCAAATCATAAAATTAATACTCCAACGGTCCAACCTATACAAAATATTGGTAAATGCCTTGATTCTTTTCTTCACGTACTGTGAAATTCATGAGTAGAGGCATTCCAATTTCCAAGAGACACAACCATGAAACAACAACAGGTGAATATATATCAAGATTCAAGAGCACAAAAGAAGTTTGGCAGCATTACTCCAGAGTTGTATACAAATTAACAAATGCAAAATAATTATCATCCTAGAAAAAAAAGCATTAGGATAGGCAACCTCAACCAGGTACACAAAAGCTAAGCAGACCAGTTTGATCCTCAAAGTATTAAGTTCACCAGTAGTTTTGTCCCCGTGATCAAAGTATGTGGAGACTTATGTGCTTTGGCGCGTTGCTTAGCTAATGGTAAGTCATTTTACATGATCACATGTGTTTTCTTTATTGTGATATGGCTTGTCACTTGGAGAAGACTTTCTGTGGTGTCTAGTGAGGCTTGGGTAAATCTTTTTAACACAAGAGAGTTATTATAGATTTGTTATATGGGGTTTAGTAGGGAAAAGGAGAAGAAGTTGATATAGTGAAATTCAATGCTGGTTATTATTTGGAGTATCTGGGTATCAAGCCATAGCAAAATCAGCAAATCTTTGATGGAAATGATAACCCAATGATTTGCTGTGGTATAAAGTCAACCCATTAGCTTCTTTATGGGCAAAGGGCCAAAGGCAGTTGGGGCTACCCAAACTATTCTCTTGGGGAGATACAAAGGAATTGGACTAAGATGAATTGTGAGTTTTAGTAGATTTGTGAGGACATCTTAACCTCTTGATGCAATTAGAATTGTGCAGTTTTGAAGTATGATTTTTATAAATGTTTAAAAATAAATTTTGATGATAATAATAAAAATAAAAAAATACAATAAAAACAGAAGCCTTACCAAAAATATTTCATTATTATTTTATGACTATAGAGAAAGATTTGAAATCAACGAATATGCACATATTTTCATGGTGAAAGAACCTTCATGAACAGTGATATGGTAGGCAAAATATTGAAAAAAGAATCCACAAACATTATGTTCTATATGATTATAGGAAGAGTAGATAATTAAAGAAGTGAACTCTCTTTTGTTCAAGCTGTTCTTCCTAGTTACTATGCCCCATAAACTTAAAGGATTGCACAATGTTGGTGCACGAGCCAACAACTAGTTTGATTCAAAACATTCACACACTAAAATCTGACTCATCCCTATCAAATAAATATCCCAAATCTATAACAATTCAAAATCCATACAAATTAAATGAAAATGTTTAGATAATACTCTAACTTACATGGACCACACCATACTGCTGTGAAGTAGAAGATTGCCTGCGAAGATTCATCTAGAAAAAATGCACAATTTCAGCATGAATATTCATAAAATAAATAAAGGTGGAGAGGTGTGGAAGAGAGAGAGCTTATAAAATGAAATACCTTCTGCCTTCTTAAGAAAGTCATTCAACTGATCATCAGACTGGACGACGACCACATTTGAATATGATTCTGTATTCAAAAAAATTTAAAAAACCAATAATAGGGTTCAAAAATAAAATTAATGTCCATACACAGGATACCAACTTCGTCATTCAAGTTAATCCTAATAATCATTCACAAACCAGAAATCACCATGACCCTCAAGGCATAAGGGAATAAACTAGTTCAAACATTAAGGAAACTATATAACACGAAATCAGGGATGTAATAGAGTAAGATATTTGACACGGTGGAAGAAACTGTTATTAACTTAACATCTTGGTGTTAATAAGTTTTTGGAGTTCTTAAGCTACCTTTTCTTCGTTAACTCAAATGCTAACATCCACTTAATATTTGATTATTATAGATACTAATTATATTCTATGTTTCCCTTTATTCACACAAAATTCCCCCTTGCCCCCAACTTTCAAAGTTTTTTAATTATCCTCCATTTCCTTGTAATGTTTATTTCATAACACTACAACAAATTGACACTCGTTAGCAGTTTACATGCATCAAAGGCAAAATTGAAAATTCTAGCTAGTTGTAATGTTCACATTAAATTAGTTACAGTTTTGTGGTTGAACTGTGAACTTCCATTGGATTTATGAGATTAAGGTCTTCTAATTACAGGTAGCAATTAACATTCTTATTTGACAATTGAGCAAGAGTTATTTAATAGTTAGCCTTAGCATCAACTGAAACTCGAACTGTCAGATTATTAGTCTTGGATTTTTATCTGGTACAAAAATTAAATCTGGTTAGTTTATTTAAAGACTTTATTCATCTTTCATTTAATTTTGCTATGTTATTTTCTTTTTGGCGCGCCTCTTACACAATGATTTAATGAATGAAATTATGAACTATCAAACTGCATCATGTCTTAATTTGTTTATTATTTGGCTTTTGATGTATAAATGTCGTAAGGAGTCACTTTAGGTGACTTACACTAGGTTATCAATACGATCCTCATGTGCCACATTTGGATAACTTTGATTTGCTTTCCTTAGTATAGAATATTAGATTGTGTCAGCTAACATAATCCCACAGTTAAAAGAAATCGTCCTTAATTGGTAGAGTCTTTGAAGGGAGATGGGGATATCATGGGATTGAATCCATCATACATTATATTATGTAACTCGAATTTGGGAACTCTCATGTTTGCCAACCTAGAATTGAATTTTTATAATACTATTCACTACTAAACAGTTTCTATTCCTAAATTCTCGTACCACATACTAATTTCAAGTATGTTTGTATGTATGCCTGCATGGATATCAAATGTGTATTATTCCAAATTTATTAGGTGTTATATATTTATTTCAATAATAACAGATGCGACATATTTAAGCAAAAAAAAATGTCATTTTAAATATTAGCTACGTGTGTACTTTTTTTTTTTTTTTTGCCACAACAAAGCTTATCACTAGCAAATTGGGTAGCGACGTTAGTATTTGTGGCATGGGATTTTGTTAGCCACGGAAGTATAGTATCAATGGTATTTGCCACGACTTTATATGTGGAAAAAAAAGTTTATTAGCCACGGTAATGTTTGTAGCAACAAAGTTTATTAGCAATGGTTGTATTTGTGGCAAAAAAATTTGGTATCCACACTAGTATTCATGGTAAGAGAATTTGTTTGCCACGTAAATTCCCACAGCATAAAATCAATTTGTCACACCATCCATTATCCCATGGCAAATTCCTAGCCAAAACCTCTCGTAAATTTAATATTCCCGTGGCAAAATTGCTTAGCCACGGAAATTTTAAACTTGTGCCAAGATTTTTGTCGTGGCACATAGGTCAATCAACTCAATTTGTTGTAGTGAAGTTGTAACGAATTGGTAGTCCATTAGTTTACTATGAGTCCCTTGTCTTCTTTCTTATAGAGGCAATTAGCATAAATTGCTTAATCTACCATATTTTGTTGATATGCATCCAAGTATAATCTCGTCTTGATGTAATGCAGCTAATGCCGTTAAAATTGTCAAATCTATCTTAATTAGCTCTCTCACTCCCTCCCTTGCTTATTCAATAATGAATACATCTTCCAAATAATGAAGTGTGAGCAAACACATACACACAACACAATGAGGCTTCATCTTCCATATAAAGTGCAGGCACACACATACATACAACAAAAAGAGGCTTAAATATACTTAAATATACTTACGCTAAGTGAGCTGAGGATTGACTCATATGGACACAATAATTTAGCATGACTCAACTTTGAAGTAAACCTATGATAAGAGACATTTATGTCACTTTTAGAAGTATTTAAGGGTTATTTTCTAGTTATTTTTCCTATAATTTCCCTCTTTTAAACCCTTTTTCTCTTATTTTCTTATTCTCGTCTTTTATGGTTTAATTTGAGTATTTGGTATTTTTTTAGTGATTTTTATTTCGTATTTTATTTATGTTTCTTAATTTCTAATGTTTTAAGTCTTAGTTTTAGTTAATAATTTTTTTCTCTCGTCTCTCTCTATTTTATATGTTACTTTATTTAAGTTTTTGATGTGTTATAGCTTTTCATTTTATTTATATTTTGTTCCTCTTTATTCTATTTATTTTCCTGATTCCCGAGTTTTATTGTATTTTCGTTGTAGGTCGTGTTCGGAGTTCCGGGTTTGAGTCATGTGTCACTCCAAGTAGTTTGCAGGTGCCTTTACCCACAACCACAACTCCCCTGCTCCCAACACTAACCAACATCACCATCCCCTGCTCCCCTGTTCCACCAACAATAACACCACCACCTCACTGCCACCACAGCAGCACAATCAGCACCACGGAGCAGCACCCACCGACAGACCCACAACAACTCAACTCACCAAAACCAGTCACACTGATGCACCACCAGCCACAACCATCTCACAAATCCATGCCAATAATAGCGCCCAGAACCCATTTCAAATGCAGCCGCAAGCAGCCACGCAACAGCAGCGACTTACCTACAAGGGCGACAACAGCCACTCGCCCACCACACAACACCCATAGCAACGCACCTTTCCATTCAGCAGCAGCAACCCCCACCAATCGCACCCTCCTTCACCTGCAGCACCCCCCACGCTGAATCAAACATCAGCACAACCAATTTGGCTCAGAAGCAGCGGCAAGAACTGCAGCAACCCACGACTCATCCTATAAAAAAAAAACCAATTCAGCCCCAAACCGACCCAATCCATGGACATCCACATTTTTCTCCTCAATGGTGTAAATCTTTAACTTTTATTTAAATTTCTCAATAACCGTATTATATTTTGGCAACAAATACACAAATTTACAACATAAACAATAAATCATTTTCTGTAATATATGCATAATAATGAGAAACAGGAGTACCTGAGTCGGAAGAGTAGCTTCTAGAACCCAAAGAGAAGGATGAGAAGACACATGCAGCGGCAGGAATGGTGAGGTTGGAGAGTGGGATGGGATGAGTGAATTGAGAAATTGAAGAGAGTGAAGAATTCTGGGGAGCAATTAGAGATGACAATGATTGAAGTTGTTGCCGGCGTAGCAATGGCCGCAGCACCTATGACCGAAGAGCAGATAATCTTGCCGCCATCTTCCTCTATTGGTGTTTCGTTTTGCTTTTATATTTTTTGTTATGGGGTTTATTAGTTTTTGGAAGAGTTAATATAGTATCAAAAGTTCAAAACTAGGTACTAATAGCTGTTTTCCCAAAAAAAAAAATGTACTAAAAAAAACCAACAACTAAAAAAAAAAAAAAAAAAAAAACTTGTTTGACATCTTTTTTACTACGTATTTGGAAATCTCGTTTTAAAAAAAAATAAGTTAGTTAAAAATAGAAATTCTTGGCCTCAACTAGGTAGAGTCCAAGTTGATCTCTAGTAAGGTCATTTTTGTAAATTAAAAAAATAATAAAAAAAGTACATTATCTGTATAGTACCAACGAGATATATAGGTAAAACCATCCTAGTAGTATCGAAAGACCATCCTACAACATGTTGGTATCATCATAGTACTGCGGTTGGTATCATATTTAACAAATATTGTTGTTGATATATTGTTGGTATCTAGCTGCGTTCGATTGGTATCAGAGCCATGCGGTTAACGGGTTAGGAGCTAAACTGAGTTGTTAATTTAATTAATAATTAAGTAAAATTGGAGAATACTAGGCCCTCTACTGAGTATAAGAAACCTGATTTTAAGCATTATTATCATATTCATGAAAATACTAGTAATTTTTTGCTAGTCCTTAATTATATAGTAGGCCAAATTGGTGAAATAAGATCGGAAGTTGATAACATACATGCTCGTTGTATTAATATCGAAAATAAGATATCAATAACCACAACTGATATTAATAAAAAAAAGTAAGCGATCTAAAAGAAAAGGTTAAACAAGTTCAACTTGCTTTAACAAACGAAGTTAGGAGTATCACCTAATAAAGAGAAAATTGTCCCATATAAATACAAATATCCTTTTCAAAATCTAGATAAAAATAAAAAGTTTACTGTATCACTCCCTAAAAGACCTACTAGTAACCAAGAAAAGAATAAAGAAACTAAAGATGAGCTCTCATCTTCAAGAGAAAACGCTTAATGAATTACAAGCCCTATTCGATAAGGAAGAAGACCCTAATAAGCTTTAACGAAATCATGAACTTAATTTCTGAAAAAAGGATTGCTTCTGATAATGAAATAGAGTGAAATAATTATATTTCTTTAGAAGAATATTTATATCAACAAATTAAATGGGATTAATAAAGTTAAATGATCTAGACTTTCTACCCATAGAAGTTGTCCAACAAAAGATTGAAAACAAACTAGGAAAAAAAATAATGGATAATAATGATGCTGGAGAAGAAATTATTAATGAAAACATTAACGTAAACAATGTTATCCAAAGACCTAGGTATCAAGGAGAAGGAAGTTGCACACGACCAAGATACATACTAGGGAAGACTACCTGGTTTAATGTCAAGGTTATGCCTAATCATATACCTAAACAAGAAGAAGTGACTCTTGAACCTATAAGTCAAACTGGTTATAAGCTTAAATTAGATGGTATAAGGGATAGACAAGATGTTTTAGATCAGTGGAAGAAAAGTATGACTAGTGTACTTAATTTAAATACTGAATGGACTTTAGAAAATTTCTTAAATTATATCGAACATAGTCTCTATGGCTGTTGTAGGCGTCGTTCGAAGTGCGCCTACGTAAAAGCATGTGGTGAATATGTTTGGCACTCATAGGAAGTGGGAATTGACATAACACGATTAGGGACAAATAAAGTAGGGAGCCGCCAACAAGTTTTTAAGGAACTTGTAAATCGTTCACAGATCATAAAAAGGCAACCACGATAAGGGACAACGAAAGGGAACAACGATTGACCCGTGAAGGTTACACCCCATTCATAATCCATGAGATTACTAACTCCATATGGTTCGGAA